AGATTGTCCTGAGAGTTCAGGTGACTTCTGTGAAATGTCCACCTCAAATAGCGCGAAACTCTTTCTGTCGAGTCTGCGTCCGCAATTTATCCTTTTCCGCATAGGATAGTGAAGACCTCTGAATTACGAATTACACGTGAGCAGAAGATAGCGTTCAGTCCTTCGGTCAGACATCAGCTTTCACATCAACTTATTAAAACTGTGTCCCCCAACACTAGGAATCTAGATAGAATTACCGAGAAGCGAATTTTTCTCTCACGTTACATCATCATTAATAGGAGCCATGATTTAGTTCATAGTTCGAACACGATCATCTCTTCCATACGATATTGTAAAACTATTCAAATAGCATCCATAAGGATCGACGAAGGACCCTCATGAACCTACTCGTGTTGTCCAGTTGTCCACCAGCACTCTAGAAGTTGTAAGTTACGATTCTGTTCAAAGGACAAGTCGAGAGTTCAAGTACCTCAAAAGAAGAAGATGCGAGCACTGGAACAAGAGCTTTATTTTCCTGGCATTTCAGATTCTTTCAAGAATATTTAATCATAGGTAATCGTAGGAATGTCGGAGCCATGCGCAGTGCTCGCATCTTCTTCTTCTGAACTGCTTCCTGGAACTCGCATATCCACTTTTATCGGTTCAAGTATTTGTTTTTTTCCATCTTCCAAGGCCATGCAGTGCACTGGACAGGAACAGAAGAGTGAAGTCCCAAACGAATATTCCAAATGTGGCGGGTACTACAGGTGTTGTTCTAGCGTTTAACTAGTCGATTTTGTAACTTTATGGCAAATGTTTGATCCCTTGTCGCTCTCCAGATGTACGCTGGGATCTTAGCGGACTTAAATACTCTGAGTTACAAAAAAATCAGGTCCGTGGGAAGTGGAGAACCCAACTGAAAGGCTCGATTCAGCCTACACAAACTTGCTGCATCCCCTTCACGAATGTGAATCTGATACGAATTCGAGCAGCTCTTGGCAAATCAATTTATTTCTGATCTAAAAATTCAGTCATTGGATAAAAGACAGTCAATGAAAAACGAGGGTCTGGACTGAAGGCGGTCGCATCCGTATCGAGAGCCCAGGCGTGGTGGTTCCCTGGGAGGTTTAGATGGCTGATCAGCTGTTTTCGGGGCGTTTGGGAGGTGGCAGTTGATAGGCACAGTGGGTGAATGAGCTGTATAGGAGAAAAGCATTGGTGCTCCAAGCTCAGCTTTCTGTTTGGAAAAAGATGTGGGATAAGTCGCCTTGGTGTATAGCGTTCTGTGAGCTCTGTCTTGACAGCCGGAAAACAACCCTGTTGGTCGCTTTGAGGTAGTGTCCCAGAAGGCCTGACTTCTTCCAAAACTAACATTCGCCCTACGTCGACAGGTGACCTGTATAAAATAAGAGGGAAAGGGCTGTTAGACGTAAGCCGAACACTTTTGCCCGATAATTTAGTAAACATGAAAGACTGATTTTCCAGTGAAAAGCGATGAACTTGTGGTCCGGGGACAATGTGTTTTGTCTGCTAAAAGTGGATAATTCCAGTGGAATTCAGAGCCTTTCGTAATCCGACTGCTTTGTTGCAGGCAAACTGGATGTCATTATCTTCGCTGTGCCAACTGATACTAGGAAACTGGAACCCCAATTTTCTAAATAGCATCTATAACCCGTCTGCCATACATTGTATTCAGTTTAATAAGTCTTCGGAGCTGAGTCAAAATGTAAGTCTCGTTTCCTGCCACCGGGCTGGACTGAGTTCTTCCGAGTACAATCAGAAGTACTTAGACTATGCGGGAGTGACGCCCAGCGGCCTGACAGGGTTGCAATCACGGGATAACTCTCCCGATCTTAGACCACAACCGAAGTCAAAAACATCGTAGGCAATACCGGATGAATGTTTCTGGCATATACAGGGAAGTAAAAATGATGCTTTTTGGGGACTAAAGCATGAAAAACAAAATATCATCACAATGGGTATGTCCAGTCCTCTGATAAAATTTATTTGATACACCAGTTAATGACTCGGATTTAATGTATCTCATGGAGGGACCCATTTCAGCCCAACTCTCCATCCTGAGAGGAGGACCGAGCTATCTCGTCGGTTGGCAGCGTTTCAAGCACTGCCATGTAAGTCATCGGGACAGTTTCAAAGCGCGTCCGATTTTTTATAGGCAGGAACGTACTGAAATGTCACATGCCCCCACTGTTTGTGAACCAGACCTCAGCTTCCATGGACCTAAGTGTCCCGGTCAGACGACGCTGATACGCAACAAGTAGATAAATTTCGAGGTAGAGTAGGCGTTCCTGACCAGTTTTTACTACCAATTAGGCATACTTTCAAACATGCGGCTCGCCAAGTTGTTTTCTGCGACCCGAACTATCTCTACCCAGAGGCGACATAATTAGTCAAAAGAGTTTATAGGGCATACTTGAAGATCTTCGCGAGACTTCTATTTGATTAAGGTATATAATGTAGCAGAGGTGATGATTTTTTAACAGGAGAAAGAGCCTACTAACCTGATGCAGTAGTCGTTGGGTCTGACGAGCACGACGTTTTTCCTGAATTTCGGCCTTCCGACGATCGAGTTCAGTTGGTGAGATGGGTTCACCAGAGCAGGTTAACGGATAAGCATTGTGTGCCGGCCGTCCAGGGCCTGTAAATATAATGAAGATAGAATCGTATTACAGAAAGCGTTTTGAGGAATAAAGCAGGTCAGGTACAAATAAATAAAAATAAAAATGGACGAAAATATCAATAATAGGTCTGGTGATGGTTAGGCATGAGACCGAAAGAG